AACCCAGAACTTGTGGATTCAGCTAGTTTATCTAAGCCAGTTTGTTTTGGGGAGGCTGTCTCCACCTTTTGAGCACTGGAGAGCCTGTCTCCACCTTTTGAGCATACAGGCTGGCATGCCCACCTGGCATTTACATGTGGATCCCAATTCCGGACCTCATACTAGCAAGAAAGTGCTTTAACCATGTAACTATCTTCCCCAGCCCTGGAGACTCTCTTGATCAAGATAATTCCTTGTGAAGAGGACTTCTGTGTTTGGAGGCTGAAACAGAGGGAAGGATCTACCTTAAAGGAGGACCTAGCTGAAAGAGGATGTTGTTTAGGACAGACAAATCCACTGATGCATGCTTAGCCCAAGGACGTGCTTCTGAAGTCCTCTGGGGAAGGGGGCTAGAGACTGAAGAAATGCCTTAACAGAGGCTTGTTAAGGGCTAAAGAGAATGAAGGTCTAGAACTTGAGACCACATTACAAGGAAAAGTAGCACAAGATAGAAACAGATCTGAATTTTTCTCTGCGGAAGCAGAGGCAGTGGAAGTGGCAAACAGTTAGGGGACACTGATGTCCCATCCCTAGACTTGACCAGAGAAGGGTGGGTCTCAAGTGAGTTTTAGAGTGTGACTTCTAAAGGCATTTGTAATATCCCTGGGGATAATCAGAGATGTTTAGGATCAGAGGAAACTAGAATTACAATGAAAGGTTAGTTACCCAAAGAGGCAAGAAGGGTGAGGGTAGGAGAGGCATAAAGTTGTACTACTGCACATTAGGCATAATCAATAAGGGAAACATCAGTGACTCTAATTTAACCAGGGGTGGCATGCAAATGCTAATAGAAATAATGGGAGTAAAGAGTAGACCCTCAAGCCCCTCTCTATGAGTCTTCAAGAAGAATTTGCCGGAGATGGGGTCCTGTGGTTTAACAGGTTAGACCTCCTAACAGAAAAGAATGAAAAACAGTGAAGCCACATTTCTCTCCACAGCTTGTGGGTCTAGGAACAATGAGATTCGTATACTCAGCAAAATATGTCTGTTCGTTCTCTCTCTTCAGCACTGTACCCTGAGCTCCTTAATGTTTGAAATCATGGTTCATGGACAGGGTTTTGACCAATAAGACTCTTAGAGGGGCTGTATTGCAAGAAAGAGAATAGGGAACTAGAATTCACAGAATATCTACTAGATGTCTGAAGGACAACTTTACACGTGTCATATCACTTAATCCTAATATCAGCTCCTGAGAACATTAGAGAAGAAATGTGGGAGTTTGACTTCAAACTGGAAGGTCAGGGCATAAGGGATCTGGAAGAGCTACCTTATCTTATAGCCTTACATATCCTAGAACTTGCTATGTAGTATAGGCTGGCCTTGAGCTCATGGGTATCTGCCTGTCTCTGTCTAGGATTAAAGCATGTCTCACCATGCCCTGCTCAAACTACCTTATCTTAAAGTCATCCTGAAGAGATAAATGTCTCCTAGGCTTGCAAGACCAGATGGTACCCTACAGATACTAATATAATTGACAGTATTAAGTTTTCCTTGTGCTGTTTCTCAAGAGTGATTAGACCCTGCCTTAGTTTTGCTTTTCTGTTGCTGTGATAAAACACTCTCACAAAAGCCACTTAAAGGGAGAAAAGGTTGATTTTGACTCATAGTTCCATAGGAATATAGTCCATCATGACAGGGAAGGAATGGCATCAGGAAGGAGCAGAAAACTGGCTGGTCACATTGTATTCATACTCAGGAAGTAAAGAGTGAACAGGAAGTGGGGCCAGGCTACAAACCCTCAAGGCCTGCCCCCAATACAGCTCCACCTCCTAAAGGTTTCATAACCTTTCCAAACAGCAATACTAGCTGGGGGCCAAGTGTTTCAAACACATGAGCCTGTGGTGCGGGAGGGGCATTTCTCATTCAAATCACAATAGACATGGGCATGTACAGAAGGGGAATGCAGAGGCAAAGACTGGCTGTACCATCCAAATACCACCAAAAATTCTAGTCCCACTGGCCAGGCAACTCTGTTTGAGAGAAATTGAGTCAGAGATGTTAGTCTAAGGCTCTGAAACATTTGACTCATCTTTCTTCATGTTCCTCAAGTGCCTTCTGATTCTGATGTGGGTCTGGCCACACAGAGGGCTTACCATGGCACATGAATGTACTGGCCAGTGTAACAGTTAGGCCTCACAGTAAATGAATAAATAGGCACTCTGATGATGAGTTACATTTCTCTGAGGCCTGCCCACAGAGAGTGCGTAGATTGGCAATGTTTACATATGCAGCCTGATTCCCAGTGTAGCTAGGGAATCTCCTGTTATAAAATAATAAACACCCAGAGTTTATGCTTCACCAAGGTTAGTGCCACCTTATGATTCCTTTTAGATGAGAACTAGCTGGTGGCTCTCAAGCAGTCATAGTGTGATCCCTTATTTGCTACGTTCCTTCTTCTAAGTGAGGAAATTGTGTCCATTGGAAGTAAAATCAGCCATGTTCACACAGGTGAGTCTTGGGTTCAGGTCAATCTGATTCTAAAGCCTGTGTTCTTGTTACTGTGTCATGTTGAGTAAGATGTTTCACAGTTCACAAATACTTCTTTCTTGCACCCGGTATTTAATTTACTCCTCACAAAGACTCAGAACGTGGTGCTAAAATGCAGCCTTACATCATATCTGGCGGATCCATGTGGGGCCCTGTGACTACCTCTAGAGCAAGAGTCCCCTGGAAGGGGCCACAAGATCTAAGGGCTACAGTGACAAGTTTCTGTCCTCACTGCATACACTGAGCCTGTTTGTAGTCTAAGTGGGAGTTCCCTAAGGACAGAGAAAAGAGGAAGTTAAAAGTAGAGAAATGCATGGGTAACAAAAATTTAGGAACCTGCCTGGAGGCCAGTTTGTAAGCCAAAGGGGAAAGAAGATTCATGGCCTCTGAGTCAAAACTTTCTGAGGCATCTCCAAACAGCCCTGTGACCACTCTCAGGACTTTGAAAACCACATCACTCATAGCCCTGAATCCTTCCAGTTTTCGCTAAACTTGCTCCTGACACCTCCTCTTCCCTGTCCAGTCCTCAACTCCTGGTTCTTATTGCCGACCCCTGCTGACTGGTGGATGAGGAAGAGGGTGTGTTGTATTTGGCACTGGGTATCATTTTGCCAGGCATACTAGGTAAGTTTTCAAGAAAGCACCCTAGTCATTAGCATTCACATGTTTCACAAGGGGACTCCAAGGTTCCTAGAGATTATAGTACCCAGATCCCAATCCAGTATCCTTTTCTCCTGTAAAAAAAAAAAAAAAAAAAAAGCGGGCTAGAGGTCTGGGAATGTCTTCAGCAAAATCTGTGATTTTTTTTTTAAACCCCCAAGGGTACCGCTTTCAAAATTGTTATTGGTGTGGAACAGGGAGATCGGGTCTCTGCCTAAGCCCTTCCTAGGAACAGTCCTAGAAAAACCATCCCAGGATTTCAGCTTCCCTGCCTGACTCATGCTTTTCCACATTCCTCTTCCCAATAGAAAAAAAGGAAGGCAGATCCTAGTACTCAGTTTCATATATGGAAATCTACATTCAGGAAGGCATAGAATCCTTAAGTTTGTGCGTTTTTTTTTCAAATCATCATTTCCTTTATAAATCTGTGTTATAATTTCTTCTTGCTGTGTGAAATCCAGTAGCTGACTATTGCTTTATGGTATAAATTGATCAATACTCACAGAGAGTGATACATAGTTTGTTGTGTTTTGTGCCTTCTTTGTCCTGTGCCCAAACTATTTCTCTCTAAACATGCAATATCCCTCAATTAAGGTACTTTTTAAAAAGTGCTGGCTTGCATTATATTGGAACATTAAAAAAATTATTCAGTAGTTGGCCAATGTGGTTAGTACTTGGCTGATTATAGAGACTGAAACATAAAGGAAGACAGCAAATTTTCTTTGTGCATAAGCAGCAACATTGTGTCTCCTTCCTGAGCTAGAAAGCAGACTCTTCATATGTTATTGATTTATATGACATTTCATTTCAGAGTAATATATAGAAACCCTATAAAGCATAAAAATGAAGATATTATGTTCCAAGGATACTAAACAGTAGTCAAAATACCTATAAAATTCTATTCTTCCTAAACAATTTTAAATAATGGGCCCATAACATGATTTGGTCCCTCATATAAATTCAATTTTAATGAATTCTTTTTCTGTAGTCTTTTGAGTTCTAATATTCTTATGCAAAATTCAGGTCCTTTTATTTATTTATAATCCCTCATCTACAAGCCATTGAGTGGCTTCATCAAGTAATTTAAGTTTGATCATCCAGTACATGATACCTAATCTTAATGAACTTAAAGTTACTTTCTAGCTGCCCTATAATTCCATCAGTATCATAATATCTTAAAGCATTGACTACTATTACCAAACCCAGTGCTTCTCACCTATTTCTGGGTCACAGTTAAAATTGAAAGAAGGTTCAGTATCCTGCTGGAGATGGGCACTGAGTCACAATCAACAAAGATTTTTAAAACTCTAATCCTAGGGGTTCTAAGAGTAGTCTGTTTTCCATGTTGAAATAATATTTTCCTTTCAAAGTGGAAGAAACTTCACCTATATCTATTTTATGTGAATTTTGGAAAATAGAAAAAACAAACTATGCCCTTCTTAGCAAAGTCCTTTCATAACTGAAAAAATAAATGAATGTAAGTGGAGAGATTAGCTCCTGAAACACAGCAAACACCTTTCCAATGACTGTCATTGGGGAAACCAGCATGCCTTACCATTTTCTTAGGACTTTTATGATTCCTCTATTGAATTTAATTTAGTAAAGCAAAATCTTAACAATCTAAATAACATATTTTAAAGCTAAGTACAGATCCAAAATGTTAGTCCCATGTTTTAAAGTAATCATTCTCCCCAGCATGGTCATTTATTTAGTCTTTGAAAATACATGCCTCTTAGTTGCACTAGTATTTATATAAACAGCAACCTGAGGATGGAGGCAGTTAATACAGAAATGTTTCAAATAACCCACAATACCTGTTCCTATGACTCCAATTCTGCCCTCAAACAGGAACAACTGTTTTCAACAGGTCTGGAAATAGATGTGCAAAGAAACAGAAGACGGCCAGCAAAGGAGCTCTTCCATACCTGTTCCACTACTCCAAAGCTAAGGGCTGCTCCTTTCCATCATTCCAGTGTGGGGTTAAGCAGGTCAATGGGGTCGGGTTACTTTTCATTTGTTACTCTATCAGCCAACTGGTTATCCCTCTGGAAAACATAACAAAGGCAGGATGAAACATGCATGACCATACAGTGTGCTATTACAGTACATCCAGTGGCACTAAAGTATGTGCAGCATCCAGCTTTCACTCTTTGTCAGCTGGTGCTCAGCTCAGTCAACTCTACCATGGAACTGCCCTGTGTTTCCAGCAGGACTTAACATGAAGAAACCACGCTGCTCTCCTCACCTGCAGAGTGGGTTCTTTCAAATGTTATTATCTTTTTGTTCTAAGGCTAGTACTAATCAGTTGAGTTAAATTACTGGAACATTAATAAAAAGGGAAGTTTTGTGGTTTACTATGTTACCACAACTGCTTGCATAGCTTCCAGTGACCCTAGCTTTTGTCAAGAGGCACAGAGTTCACTATAGTTTAAATAATTTGAAACTATCATATAAAGTCATGTGAGAAAACACATCCTATGATGGCTAGTAAGAGCCACTGGTGACTAGTAAAAGTCTTAGATGAAATACACACTGCTCCTGGATTTGACTCCTGAGGTTAAAAGTGGGGTTTGGGTGCTACTTATCACAACAGGGAATAAAGCCTAAGACTATTTTTTTTTCATTTATCAGAAAAAAAGGATTATTTTTGTATACTCATTACAGAACACTTTCCCCTCTAGAGGGCATTTGGGTTCTTTTAGATGCCAAAGAATAAGACTCACATATCTTGATTTCAGGCCAGAATTTGGGAAGCAGCATTTCACACAGAGAAATGGATGGAAAGAAGGGGTTGTAGGGGTAGGGGTGTAAACCTAAAGAGATTTAAGAGCCAACTATTCAAGTTCCAGTATCCCTCTGGCTTACAGACAGTGACCTTTAAAGAAATGAAAATAGTTGTGGCAGGGGCTAGAGAGATGGCTCAGTGGTTAAGAACACTGGCTGTTCTTGCAAAAACCCAGGTTCAAATCCCAGCACCCACATGGCAGCTAACAACTGTCTGTAACTCCAGTTCCAGGGGATCCAATAGCCTCTTCTGTCCTCCACAGGCATTGCACAACACAGGTGCACTTACCTACATGCAGGCAATATATGCATACACATAAAATAAAAATAAAATATTTTTTTAAAAAGAAAATAGTTGTGGTATTAATATCATGAGAGTACAGACAGCTTAAAAAATATAGCATATGTCCCAAATTCATTTCAATAACAAATGTTTTAGAAAAAATCATTATTTTGCACTGTTACTCTTCTTAAGTCACTAATATTTTAGTAGTGCATAAATCATTAGCTTTAAAAACACACTATAGAGTGAAATGGAACTTCAGCTATGTTTAAAAGAGAAAGCAGCAAATCAAAATCACTTTAAGATTTCATCTTAACCCCATGCAGACTGGATAAGATCAAGAGAACAAATGACACCAAATGCTGGTGAGGGTGCCAACAAAGGGAACCCCTCACTCACTGCTGGAGGGATTGCAAACTGGTGCAACCACTGTAGAAAGCAGAGTGGAGAGCTCTTACAAAAACTAAAAATAAATCTACCATACGATCTGATTATACAACTCCTTGGCACATACCCGAAGGACTCACCCTACTACAGAAATACTTGTGCATCCATGGTTTTGTTTTGTTTTGTTTTTTCTGTTCTTTTCACAATATCTAAAAAAATGAAAACAACCTAAATGTCCCTCAGTTGATGAATGAATAATGAAAATGTGGTACATTTATAAAATAGAATTCTACTCAGTGGTAAAGAAAAACAAAACCATGATATTTAAAGGTAAATGGTTGGAATTAGAAACTGTTATGCTAAGTGAAGTAACACAGACTCAGAAAAACAAGTAATGTATGTTCTCTCTCATTGGTGAATCTTAGCTCCAAATACTTATATGTGAGTATATATCCTGATGTAACCACAGGAGTCAGGAAAATGGAAAGGAACATGTGGGTAGAGGGAAGAAGGGTAAAGGGGTAGTAGGAGACAAGTACTATTGGAGTGAAAGGGGAAAATGAGGGTAATTTAACTTGTGAAGGGGGAAAGGAGGGTTATATAAGGAATCATGGGGGTATAGGGGAAGAAGGAGCTCTAGAGAGGGGGATAGTAGTAGACAGGTATTATTAAGGAGCAAATGGAGGTGCTTTGACTGGGGAGGGAGGAGAAAGGGTGAGAGAGAGAGAGAGAAAGAGAGAGAGAGAGAAGAAATAACACTTCAGTGGAAAAAAACAGAGGGAAATGTATTAGTTCAAAAGCCTACAGAAAACATGTATGTGTGTATGTGTGTGTGTGTGTGTGTGTGTGTGTGTGTGTGTACGCACTCACATGTATATAGCTGAGGGCTTTATAACAGAAACACGGCACCAAAGAGGAGAAACCTCCCTTTGTGTTGTTGGTCAGGCAGTCTAAGAGACTCCCAAAATAATAGATGCGTTGCCTCCCAGAACTTCAAGACTCTATTGCTGAAGACAGGACATATTTGGACACAGGACTTGAAGCAATGGGGCTGGAACTGACCTGGAAGCCTCCTCCCTGAAGACTAGATATCATAGTAACAAAAGATACTATGTAAGCTGTTAAGGTAGAAAACCAACCCAGCTGTAAACCCTAATAACACAACAATGACTGGTGCAGCAAACTATTAGTGCAGTAACGGCACTTTTATCTTGGGGGCAATCCGCAGCTATCTAATTGAACTTAAAGCCTGATCAATTGGAGGGAACTCACGTATGGTACTGTAAAGATAGCCAACTACACAAGACTGGAGAGGTCATAGATAAATGTAATTTCTTACTGTATGCTAATCCTTATATTCGCAGATAAGTTTACCTGTCACGACTCATCAAAGAAGCTTCTTTTTCAACAGATGGAGACTATAACAGAGTTGCACAACTGGTCAAATATAGAGAATAAGTATCTGTGAGATTTCCAACTCTACCTGACACATCTACAATGCAACCTAGGGCTCAGGGAACACAGTGGAACAACAGGCCAAAATGCAGAGAATAAGAGACTGCAGAGTGTGTGTCCCTGGATAGGACTTCTATATTAAACCTCACCCACCCATGGCTTGGGGATCATTGTGGAAGAGGGGACAGAAAGACTGTAAGAGCCAGAGGTTGGGGTGAATCACAAGGAAACAGAGTTTTCCAGACAACTAGGAACTTGCTCATATGAACTTATAGCAATGGTGACAGCATCCACAAGACCCATGCAAACTCAAACCAGACCAAAAAACAAAACAAAACAGAACAAAACAAAAAAACAGCATACAAGTAGGGAAATGGGTAAAAATCCCAAACCTTAGCTGAGGAACTATTGGCAACTGCTGGGTGAGGGATAGTTGGTTTTCTTAAAGGGAGTGATACTAGATAGGTTGACCAGGCTCCAATGGATGAAGTCACACCCTCATACCAAGGGATATCTGTGGATACAAACTTGACTTGATGGGCCTTAAGACAGAATGCATGAAATTTGGGGTGGGGGCTCTGGGAGTGCAGATAGGGGAGGGGGAGTCAAAACATGATCAAGATGTATGAAATGCCACAAAAATTCAATAAAAATAGACAAAGAAAAAAGAAAATAGTTCTTATTTACGTGTTCTTTCATGTGAGTCCTCTGTTGGATCCAGGCATGTAACAGAGTGCTAGAAAAATCCCGATAGACAAAAGCAAACACAGACCTGGTGTTTTAAGTCCTAGAGAAACAGACTCCCAGAAGAGTCAGAGTAATTGAAGGTCATTCAAGGACGTACAAAGGTGATATTTTGGAGAGATGCTTCAACATCATCTAAAGCAGCAGACAGAAGATTTGGCAAAGCTTCCCTGAATAAAAACAATCAAGTAAGATCAGAAAAGAACCACACAATTGGATTGCTGGTAGAGGCACATGTACCAGGCAGGTGGTTAAGAATGTGGAAAGCCCTAGGTGCTTATACTGGAGAAGTAAAGGGGGCATTCTCAAAAGCATGCTCATACATGAGATGTTATTACATGCCTACACATAGGTAGCTTCTGAAGACACATCACCGAAAGATATATCCAGAGATCAGTGCAATCAGTCACCTTCCATTTAGCTAGGTGAAACATTCTAAAAGGGACGTTTCAGATGTTAGTAAAGGGGACTACCTGATGGACAGCACATAAAGATTCTTTGCTATAAAAGGCACTAAATGTAAAGGTATTGTGAAGTAAATAGCTCTCATTCTTAAAAAGTGACTGTAGAAAAGCCCCCAAACTAATGAAAGGGCCTTTTCTGAGGTGGAACGTGGGAGTGAGAGCCATGTCGGTGGTGGGAAGGGGATGAAATGCTCGTTATGGTTTGAATCCAAAATGTCCCATTGGCGTATGCATTGATACTTTGTCCCCAGCTGGTAGCACTGTTTGGGAGACTCTGGAAACTTCAGGAGGTAGGGCCCAAATGGTAGAAGCAGGTCACTATAGACAAGTCTCTAAAGTTTATACCTGATCCCTGGTTTCTACCCTGCTCTGCTTCTGGGTCTGCTATGATGTGAGCAGACTGTTACCCTCTGCTCCTTCTACAGATTGAGCTGCTGTGCCTCACCTTCCCCACCAGGATGAACTGAAACCCTCTGAAACCATGAGTCAAAATAATTCATGCCTCAAGTAGCTTTTGTTAGGTATTTTAGTCACAGTGATTCAAAAATAACAAATACACTAATCTTCCTATGTAGTCTACTGGTGGGTTTTCACTGTTCCCTTAGAGGCTTATCAGGACCTTTTACATACCTCCCTCAATTACAACATATGGTTAGGGTTATTATAAGAAGTAATTAGCATATTAGCACATAATCTGCAGTGGCACCAGATGAGCACTTGGCTACCAACCAAAATAGTCTAATGTATGGGCACTGGGGTACATGCTCTTTCATTTAAATTTCGTGTTTCATGGAGGCTAGAGAGATGGC